GCCTGGGGTCAGGGTGCAGGGAGGGGGGGGGGGAAGAAGGGGCTAGGTTTGTCCACCCATGGAGCCAGAGCTGAAGGCCTTAGGCAGAGGTTATGGTGGAGTAGAGGGCCCTTTGAGTGTTTATCTGTAGTTCTAAAGCAGCTTTGTAACACTTTCCTGAGCAGGACAGGAGCCAAGGAAATACATGAATGAAAGGTCATGGACCAGAGAGAGGTATGCCTGTAGGCATGGATAAGCAGAGGCACTCTTGACCAGAAGAACGATGTCCTGAACATTTCTGATCTGGAAGTTTAAACTGTTCACGTGTCTAATAAACGTCACAAATGTTGACTATGTTCTGTGAATTCTGTGAGGCCAATGCCAGGACTTTTTGCACCCAGCAGAGTACAAAGTATCGTCGGAGGCATGGCTGGTGTTGGGACTGGAGGAGGAGGTTGGAGGGCAGAGGCATTTCTCACCTCGGCTACCCTGGAACAGGCCTGGGCTGATGATGAATTTGGTTTCCCTTCCTCCCGTGAGATCAGAAGAGACCAGATGGTGCCCCACGCCATTTTTACCAGCGGTTGAGATAGACGTTTGTCTACTTTGGACATTGAGAGGTAAAGACTGAGACATGGGTTTAAACTACTGCTCAGCTCCTAGTCCTGCAATTCAGGACAAGACACGCATCCTCTGTCTTGTCGCTTATTAAATGAAAATGTCACTTGTCCTGACTAGATCCTGCAGCGGGTTGAGAGTTAAATCAAATGATGTAAAAGAACTGGGTATGGATAGCTATATTTCAGAACAACGGGAAGCGTCTTCTAATGTCTAAAGCATTTCAAGCTTCCTTTCAAAAGCGTTGGCACTGACTGGATCAAAGTTATAAAATTCAGCCTAAAATTTCTCCTCGGTGGCGCATGCTGCAAGTTAGAAGTGAGATGGCCAGCAGAGTCACATAGCACAAGTGCAGTCTGGGGCAGACACGCCCCTGTGTCTCAGGTCTACAGGGAACAAACAGAATGGGCCACTGATTCTGAGGTATCCTTCGAGGCACCGATGGTGAGCAGGTGACTGAGCTATGCACACAAGGACCACCTCCCATTTTGCTCCCGGCACCCTTCCTTTCGATCTCACTGCTGCCTACGCCAAAATGGTACTGCCACCTGGGGAGCCACAGGGCAAAACCCCTCCAGCAGGCTTCAAAGCCACTTCAGAAGCATCTATCTCGGAGTTGCCAGCTGCCTCTGCAAGTTGGGGAGGGTATTGTTCTCAAGTACACGTTACCTAAATTTATGATGAAGTAAAAACCGCGGTCAAATGAAGAAACCGGTCCTTGTTCAAAATCAAGAAAATGGCAACATGCTGAACACACAGGCCTCCTGTCCCAGAATCCATCCGTGCCAGCCCCTGGGAACGGTGAAGCACACCTGGAAGTACCGCCCACTCCGTGGTCGCCAGTCTTCGTCAATGTGAAGATCCCACAGTGTTGGCACCTGAACTCACAACAGGGGGGACTTTGGGAATGCTGACCAGCAAGAAAGAGACCAGAAGTAAGCGTGGGAGGAGTACACAGAGTGAGGGAATGTCAACGGCACCTTCAGAGTTCACCTCACCTCGGCCCCTCAGCATTTGGGGGCCGCTTTGTCATAAAGAGTTTTCCCCAGTCAGTTATGTACATTTTCTCCAGCCCTTTGTACACATGAGCATCTCCCTGTTAGTTTCTCAAGCCGTTGGCTGGGCACGATACTAACCAAGGGCTCCGAGCGCCTGCTGTTGAGCCTGCGTGCTTTCAAAGGCCCCAGCGCACCAAGGGCAGCCGTCATGGCAGATGCCTCATTCCTCAGTCTGTTTAGAGGGGCGGGCCTTTTGTTCTCCACAGCAGAGTGGGCTGCAGTCACACTCTCAGAAACAGGGGAGCCTGTCGCTGGAAGCTTCCTGGGCTCTGTAGTAAAGCCAGGTTTCAACTTCTTTGAAGACTTTCTCTCCTCTGGGGTGAGCAGCCCCCAGAAGGGGGTGGTCTAAGACTCAACTGATTGCAGGAGTACCTCCGAGCTGCCCTTGGTGGTGGTGGAGGGGCGGGCTGGGGAGGGAGGTCCCACTCAGCATGCAGACGAAGGGCATCTCTTGATGGCTCTCTTAAGTTTGCCCGACTTACTCGGAGTTACTCTCTTCTTCACCAATTAGAGCTTCTTGACCTACATTCGGCTCCTGGTTTGATCTTCGGAATGAGAAAAACCACTCCTTTCAAGTTACCTGAGCCCTGCGCTTCCGCTCTGCTGGCAACGGGAGGCAGTGCCTGGGCATCCTGTGAATCAGTCAGGCTCCTGTGCACGTGCTTGGTAAGGAGTGGTCCATGGGACCCAGGAAAGGGGAGCCATAGCCCGCACCAATGCCCAGTGCAGCGAGGCACCAGTGTACTGTACCCCCGTCTACGGAGCGACTTCAGTTTTCCCAGGGTTGTCAGCCGCACGTTCTGAATATGCGTACTTCCCGATGGGATTTCAATCTTACGCTTTCTTCCCATCTACTGCCTTTCTCATTCTCACTTTCTCTTAGTCCATCACACGTGAGATTCCCAAGGGCAGAGATCCTATCTATTCCACTGACAGATGTGCATCTTCAAGGCCTGGGATAATCCATCTACGGCAGACACTCAATAAAACTGTCTGCCAGGTCACTAACCGAGTAAGTAAAAGCATTTAGATGTCATGGAATGTAACTAGAGGGGATTTTTTTTGTTGTTGTTCAGGCTTTGTGATGCATGTAGTTTTATTCTACTGAACTAGAACCAACCCCGCTATCTACTGCCATGCAGAGTGTCAGAACTCTCCATCTCTCTCTCTCTCTCTCTCTCTCTCTCTCTCTCTCTCACACACACACACACACACACACACACACACACACACACACACACACACGCCAGTGATTTCTAGGCCCAAGACGTTTGTGTCGGGTTCTTTACTATTTGCTAGAGCACAGATGTCCAGGACATCCATTAATTGAGATTCTCATACATCTGCAAACACACATGGCTGGCTGGGAAAGAGGGCACCAGGTGAGTGAGTTCAAATCTTCGTATGCCAATGGGGCCACCTTGCCCTGGGAAGCTCCGTGGGGTGGGGATGGGGTTGGATGGTGTTTAATGGCAGAGAAGAGAATAGGCAGGGATCGAGGGCCCAGTGAGGCTAGTGGAGAGAGGACAGCCGTGGTCCCTTGGAGTGTACCCCCAGCCCCACCCCCACCCCTCTCCCATGCTAAGTGGATGCTTACTTTTCACCGGGCTTGAAACCAGGAGCTGACTGGGTGCAGGGGCTGGTGGGAGCAGACAGAGTGCTCTTAATGTTCTGTACCGAGTGCCTGCGGCTCCGCCTGCGGTCCAGGCCCCGGTGCTCGCTGCTGCTGCTGCTGCTGCCAGAACACACACTGGCCCTCCTCCGGTCCCGCCGCCCGCTGGGGGGCAGCTCAGCGGTCTCATCACCGTCTTCGTGTCGAAGTGCCACCTGCAAAAGCAGATAGGGTTGAACCCGGTCTTCTCCCCACCTGTGGGCCTCCGCACCACCTGAGTTCCCCAAGCACAGCTGGGCAAGTCGGCCGCTCGGCATGCTTCCCATGCAGTGGGCAGAGCCAGCCTCACGAGCAGGTCTAAGAGCCCCTGTGCAATCAGAGGGCCAGCCCTGCCATCTCCGGCGTCCAGCCCGGAGCCTCTCCTCACCCACCCTTGGCTGTTCTCTCTCTGCTTCAGGAAGCTGAGGCCCACTTGATGTCTAAAAAGTTCCTGGTCATTCCTGAGCTCGCTGACCCACAAACAAAACCCCAAAGCGCGCAGGTTCTGGTCAGAGTTGGGAACCACAGATCAAGGTGAGAGGGACCGGGTCTCACCCAGAAAACTTTTTGGAGACCTTGCATGGCACACACATTCATGTGTTCAGACGCTAATGAGCTAAGGTTAGAGTGCACCCACAGACACCCTGAAAGACAAGGTGATCTACTCCCCAAGCTTTTGCCCTAGAAAGCCCTGTGGAGCAGTTTCACTCTGACCCACATGGGGTTGTCTGCTTTGGAATTGACAGGATGGCAGTGTGTGCTGCATGCTTTCAGAACCTGAGCTGACGGCGGCGGTGGCAATCCGGCTAAGGCCAACAGCCTGCTCTCTGGGTTGCAGGCGGAGCTCCTGGTTAAAATCACCAGCCTGCCCACGAGAGCCACAAACATGTAACGGGAAGCTGCTTGGCCCCTTGAAGAAAAAGGTTCTTTAAAAATTTCCCCTGGGAAACCCTGCATGCTTGTGCAGACTAATGACTGGGTCATGCTTTCCATTTCCATTTCCGCCTTCGTGAGCAAAGCCCAGGCCTGGGTGTCACCCTGCATTGTCACTCTGGCTCTTGACAAAAAGCTGAGTGCTGTCTCCAGGGGCCTAGCTCTGCATCCCACTCTATCCTAAATCCTGCTCTGCAGCCTTCTCCCTCTGCATTAAAGGCAACAGTCTGTCCTTCCCCTACCTCTCTCTTCAGCTTGCTTCTGGTAGCCACTCTGCTCCCAATCAAAGCGCATTCTTCCCAGCCAGGGGCCATACTGATCTGTATCTTTGGCTTTTTAAGTATTTTGTGTACCTCCCTTCTCTAGAAACACAGGAGCCCAGGTGGCACGGTGGTTACACAATGGGCTACTAAAGGCAAGGTTAGTAGTTTGAAACCACCAGCCTCTCCATGGAAGAAAGACGGAGCTTTCTACTCCCACAAAGAGTGACAGTCTAGGAAGCCCCCAGGGGCAGTTCTACCCTGTCTCATAGGGGCGCCATGAGTTGACATCGACTCAATGGCCGTGAGCTTGGTTTTTGTTTTTGTTTTTCTAGAACTTGATGGTGAACAGACCAAGTGTTTTGGCTTTGATTAGATCCTTGGGTAAGTGCTGGATGCGCCACCACCAAACCAGGTGAGATAAAGAGCAAGCTGTGTACCCTCTTCTGCAGCACCTCCACATCCCGGGGAGAATTGCAGTTTCATGTTGGTGGTAGGATGGCAGAAGGTGACCTGTGTAAAGCATCTAATGTGGGGCTTTATCCCACGGCTGGCGCTCAGTCTATAGGACTACACTTCCCCCATCCATGAGTGGTGATCTAGGATGCCCATAAATTCCCCTTTCACACAGACCTGACTGGTCACACATCACCTGGCAGCCCAGGTGAACCAGACTCAACCAAGTCCACCAGTCCCTCTGACTTGGCAGCCAGGGAAAGACAAAGTCCCAAATGCCCAGTTGTGCAAGTTTCTGGTCGTGTGGGTACTCAGTCACATTTCACAACCCAGTCCCGGCGGGAGAGCATGGGGAAGCCATCTAAAGGCCCAGGTATAGGACCTTATCCTGTCTACAGAAGACCTGGCAACATCGATTCGTCTCTATGTCCAAAATTTGGGCACCTAGGATCATTTATCAAAGCGAGCTTGGCAAGACCAGGTTGGGTACTCCCATCCTGATTCACAGGGCCATGTTGGCCTTTGAGACACACAGGAGTGCATCTGCCCCCTATCTACGCCCCCCCTTGTTTCCTCCAGTGTCCAGAGACAGTTCCGTGAACGCTTCTTCAATGGGTCATAGACATTTCACCCAAGCTCTCAGATCTATGATCACAGTTGGATGCTCGTTGACTATTTTATCACCTCCAGAATTTTCTAGTCAGAGACATCGTCTTTGGAGGTATGAGGTTAAAGAATTAAAAAGAATTCCACCAAAGTGACATTTCATCAGAGTCCCCTTCTGGGAGACTCGCTCCTCCAGTGCGATGTGCAAAAAATGAGTAAAGAAATTCTGTGTTTGGCCAATCACATTCATTATCTCCACCACAGCACACTAAATGGCGTTCTCTGGGGGGGATTTTGAAAAAAGCCCAACACCGAATCAAGGAAAGCACTTCTCATTATTTCGAGCCAATTACTTGACATTTCTTCATTTTCAGACACAAAAATTCAAGACCATTTTGAACTTCCTCTGACCTGAAGTATCGATTCTGCTTCTTATTAAACACACATTGGGGATGATAAGATTAGAGGCAAAAGTCAAGTCCAGATAGTTCTAATTCCTCTCCTAACCTCAGAGGGCTGAGGAACGAGGAAAATGCGGCTCACTGTTCCTTGCAGAGAAGCACACTGCGCGTAAGTGGAGTGAAATCTACTTGAACCACCTTTTGCCAAAGAAAGTGGGGACACTCAGCAAGTTTAAATAAAACAAAAACTGGAAACTTGTCCAGGCGACACCAAACACCCCAAACGAGAATCCAGTTGGGGTTCTCCACAGCTCAAATCCATTACAAAACAAGTCTCGCAAGGAGGGGGCTGGGGGGTGGGGGGTGGGAGAGGAAGAGGGGGCTGTGCATAGGTTCTAAACAGATCCAGTGGCAGCCTCGGGCTTGCTTCGGGAACAGCGTAACATGAAAGTTAGGGAGAGTATTCACTCGGGGTCTGGCATTTAGAGTAAGACTTCTAGAACCACCCATATCTGCTGGTGACAGGAAGAGACACTGCACGTGACTTGCCTGTAGAGGCTACCACGGTGTTTCCGAACTCTTCTGAGGCCAGGGAGCATGGCAGCGTGGAGCCAACAAACTCGAAAAGCTGGGAAGCACTTGGAAAGAATAGCACTTCCCACCAGGTGTATCCTGAACCTGTGACAAATCTCCAAGCTCATGGCCATCAGGTCGATTCCGACTCTCAGTGACCCTGCAGGACAGGGTTGGACTTCCCCTGTGGGTTTCTGAGACGACACATCTTTATGGGAATAGCAAGCCTCGTCTTTCTCCCCGTGGTTTGGAACTGCTGACCTTGTGGTTAGCAACCCAGCACATAAACTCACAGCACCACCAGGGCTCCTGTCTGTAGGAGGTTGCAGCTGTAATCAGCAGGCAGCACAATGAAGGACCTTCACAAGAACGGAAAGTGAGATCAACCGTGTCCTGAAAGATCTCCCCCACATAATGGGGCCCTTCACTTGCCGGCCCCTCCACTGAGCACCATCTAACTCTTTTTAAGGACAGGTTTGAAGCCGCAGATGTGGGGCAAGCGCATTCCAGAAGCTAGAGCTGACTGCTGGAGCATCCTGCCCCACCTGCCCCAGAAAGCAGTCGGGAGCAGCTTCAGGTGGCGTCTGTGATGACTTCCGCTAGTCTGTGAGGAGACTGGCAGCTCTTGCCAATCTAATTTTTTTTATTTTTGGAAAAATTTTAAACATACAAAGGGGGCCCCAAAGGTTCATGGAAGAACCCCATGACCTCTCCATCCAATTTTCCCACAAACTTTTTGAAGGCCTCTCATTGGAAAAGTGGGGGAGACAAGCATGATGTGTGCTCGGGTGTGCTCATCACCCAGGCTCAACGATTATTATAACTCAAGGTCAATTTCGCTTCATTTGCACCCCACTAGTGGCACGGCCATTACGTGCGTGACTGCCAACTGAAGGACTGATGGTGGAATCCACCAGCCATTCCGAGGACAGAGGTGTGGCAGGTCAGCTTCTATAAAGATGGCCATCTTAGAAACCCAACAGGGCGGGTCTCCTCCATTCTGTGGGTCAGAATGGGCCGAGCAGCAGTGGGTCTTCACTGGCCCTGGCCCTGGCGCCAAGATCACATCATTCCATCAGTTAACATTGCAACATTCATTCCCCAAAGACAAGGACTTTTTACAAAACACAACTACCATACCATTAAAGAAAATAGATCCAAACCTCATATCGTTTCTTCTGAGTTTCTATCTCTGCCCGAGTGTCAGCAGCCAGGAGTGGCGGCCAACTTCACGTGACAAATACAGTCCTTTTCTCACTTCCTACTCTACACCTCGTTTTTAATCAAACCCATATGCACTGCTTCCATGTTTGGGTGAAGTGGATGTCAGTTCGAATGGCCTTTTGAGCCAGGAACTATGCTGATGACATGTTGTGGCTGATGTGAAAAGCTTGGGTCCCCAAGGCAGCTTGCCTCTTTTTGCTTCACAGTTGGGTAGGCCTTTTCCACAATGAGTCTAGAGTTGGCCACGTGACTTGCTTTGGCTGGTGGAACACTACCAAATGTGACATAATCAGAGGCTTGAAAAGCATTTGTGCATTGAGACTTGCCCCGTTGAAAGGTCCCCGCTGTGAAGCAGCTCGGGCTAGCCTGATGTAGAAGCCAGGAGCCCAAGTCAGCACCAAACACCAGAGCACATGCGTGAAGTCACGGTCAACCATCCAGCCCCAGACAAGCTGCCAGATAACAGCGGCCACATGGGAACGTCCTGCCTGAACCAGACTCAGATTGCTGACCCCAAGAATGAATGTTATTTTAGACCACGCAGTTTTGGGGTGTTTGCTATGCAGCAACAGACTACTGAAATGTACTTTAAAAAATGACCGCTGATACAGAGAAACCGTGTTGGGTTTATTAACTAATCATTCCTAAAAGGAATAGTTCTTCTTCCTCACCCCCTCAACACTCAAGTCTCCAGTCTTAAGATGCCTTTCCCATGACAGGAGCATTTTCAGAACCCAAAGTTAGGGCACATGATCTTTCTGTTTTGATTTATGAATTTATGCATTTGAGAAGTCACAGAGGCTATAAAACTCAAATGAATTTCATTAAACATGGATCAAATCACCTTTCCTCATGGAATTAAGTTACATAGCATTGGGCCTGTCCTCAGAAAGCCTGGGCCACATGGTTGCCAGACAGCCTTCACGATGAGGAAGAATTCTCAAAACCCAACTGAGTTCCGGGCAACTATTTGAGGGCAATCAAGACTTTATTTTTTAATCGGGAACACTGACTTTGCCTGAAGGCCTTCTTGCTGCCCCTGCATGCACTCAAGTTGATTGTCCTGTGGCAGTAAATTAAAAAGGAAAAGAAAACAAAACAACAAACCATGAACTTTCAGAAAGAAAATCTCTGCCTCTGCCTGGTATCTAGAGCATTTCACCTGTCAGCGTGAGTTATTACCCATTGCATTGGCCCTGTCAGGTAGGTGCTTAAATCATGGCTGCTTTCAAGGCAGCATCTGGCAAACTCCACCATAAAAGACGCAGACATTGGGAGAGGCCTTTGTTGCGGCACTTGCTACTTGGGACAGGTGCGTGGCTGGGCCCCGAGGCTCGAAAGAGAAGGAAAACATAGGTGGAGTAGCTCACAGGGATTCAGAGCCCAGAAAAAGCCCTCAGGACATGGGATCAGAGGCAAAAAACACCCCGCAGTTGTGAGGAACCAAGGGTGGGAGTGCGGGTGGGGGTGTGAGAGACTTGGCGGAGAAGCTGACCTGCTGGGTCACTGCTCAAGGACCCATGTGAGACCGAGAAGAAACAACACGTTGGGCAAAACAAAGAGAAAGGATGAAGGGGGGACTTCCCCCAAAGACATCCTTGCAGGCTGTGGGCCAGAAGTCGAGTGGCGGCTGCCATCTCTCACCATCTTGGAAATGGCTAGAGCCGAGAAGGCCACAGCTGCACGGGGGCCCGGGGGCTGAGGTTTCACACGCGGCTCTCAACAAGGGGGGCTTGTGTAGTTTAATGATTTAGTTTCTCCAGCAGAGGGATGACGTCAACAGACAGGCCCTGGCTGGAAGATGGCTCTCTCTTTAGTTGGAGGGTGTCGGGGGAGGAAAGACAAGTGACAGTCCCGTGAGGCACAGCCCCTACAGGATGCCGTGCCACAGGCCAGGCTGGCACTCCGCGTCCGTCCGCCTGCAGCGGCTGTCCGCAAGCCCACACCTCGCAAGGCCTTCCTTGGTCCTGGCCTCAGCTTCGTGTCCCCACCACATCCTGTCTCCTGGCTTCAGATTCTCTGCATTGCCGCTCCCTGGGGCACGGGCTGCACCCCTGCTGGAAGGTGCCCTCCCTTGGGGTAAAACTCACACCAGTCATCTTAAGCTTTAATATTCCTCTACCTACAGTGGCTCATTAAATAGCAGATGAGTGGTCCCTTTCCCTGCCTTTACAGCCATGAGCCCACATTTCCATTCGGCACAGGGGGGTCCCCCAAGGTTGGAGGGAGCCCCATCTGAAACCCCACCCCTGTGAGCTGCGAGGGGTAGGATCCCCAGGGCTGCATGGGGCGCTCTTGCCAGGAGCGAGGACTCACTGTTAGCAGCAGGAATGTCCTGCAGGGTGGTTCTCGAGTTTCAGGGGTCCAGGGGTTCTTCAACCCAAGTGCCTATCAGAATCACCAGGGGGCTTGTAGCAACACACATGGCTGAGCCCACTTCCAGAGAGGCTGATTCAATAGGTCTGGGGTGGCACTTAGAACCTGCATTTCTTCTAACGTGTTCGCCAACCATGTTCAGCCCTGTGAGTCTACACTCAGCCTTCAGCTTCCGCAGAAAATGCCTGAAGCATTGAAAAGGAGCACGTTGGACAGCATTTCAAATTCCTAAAGTATCGCAATTTCAGATGCACCAAGAATCTAGACTTTTTGGAGCCCTGGCAGCTGGGTGAAGCCCCACAGCGATTGCCCTGAGATGTTTCTGGCGCCCTGGAAGCTTGGTGAAGCCCCACAGAGATTGCCCTGAGATGAGGTCACCATTAAACTTTAACCCTGAGACCAATGGTGTCCCCGGAAGTGTCCTTTGAACCCAACAACAGTTCCAGTTCATGAGTGCAGACTGCCTGTCTGAGCACTGGGCTCTTCTCAAAACCGGCTCATCTACCTGCGTGCAGACGGACAAACGCAAACCCAACTGACACCCACAGATTCCATGCCGGCTCCCAGAGACCCTGCAGCATGGGGCAGCACCACTGGCTCCAAGGCTGTAACGCTTTATGGGGGTGGAAAGCCTTGTCGGCCTCTCGCAGAGCGGCTGATGGTTTCCAACCACTGCACTTGCAGTTACAGCTCAATGGGTGTCCACTGCAGCACCATGCTGACCGCCGCCATGGGGAGAGTGAGGCCGGCAGCTTACCTGGCAGGGAGACTATACTAATGGGGGAGAACAGTAAGGCAAGGGAGGATGGGCCAGGTTTCACAAGTCAAAGAATCAATGCCACCAAACTGTATTGGCAGAAACTGCAGAATATTCCACCATGAATATTTTCTTTTTCTTTTTTTTTCATGAATATTTTCAACAAGAAAAAGTACTTAAAAAAAAGAATGTTCTGTTACCTCGTAAATGTTAAACTGCTCCACTAAGTCCAGGTCGGTCCCTTTCTTGCTCAAGTGCCTCTGAGACACCGCCGCCAGGCCCAGCTCCTCCAGAGAGTCCACCACATCGTAGAAGGTGTCCTGGTCCGGGAGTCCCGACAACGTCTGGAAGAGGAGAAGGACCCAATAGACGTGACGCCCAAGTCATCCCCACCGTGGCAGCCAGTGGCTCCAACCAGCACGCGGGACAAAGCAAGGCCGATGACAGGCATACTGTGGCAGCTTCCCAGCCCTGGTGCGTACCGCTGTTGTACCCGGGCTGTGTCATCCTCTGCCCTCGGGTACCTGCCAGACACTCCCGTGATAGGTGTTATTCCTGTGATTATATTTCATTCCATGGAAAACAATTTCACAGATGTAATTCAGAGTGTACTAATTGCTTTTGGGTTAGCCAAGGGGGCAATTGTCCTGGGTGGGTCTGACTTCATCAGAAAAGAACTTTGAAAGGGTTTTTCTGAACTCAGTGATTGAGAGAGAGAGACAGAGAGAGAGAGAGATTGAGTCTCCTGTTGGCTTTGAAGAAGCAAGCTGCCAAGGGCTTTATAGTCAAAGGGAAATGGATTCTGCCCAAACCACATGGCTTTGGTAGATGATCCCAAACCTCAGATGAGACCACAGCCACACTCGAAACTCTGATTGCAGCCATGCTGAGCCCTGAACCTGGCTTTGCCGGGACTACTGACCCATGGAAACCATGAGCTAACATGTGAGGCTTGAGCAGGCTAAGTCTGTAGTGATGCACTACGTGGCTACAGAAAATGCACACACTTAGCAATCAGGGCCTCCTGGGACGATTGCTAGAGCAACAGCTGGCTTAGTTTCGGCCATTGAAGAGTTGGCTCCCTTCAGTTTCAATTCAAGAGGGCCTCCTTTTTTGGTCTAAAAAATCAGGAAAACATGAGAATTCTCAAACCAGAACTTGATCCACAAAAAGATAATCCAAAAAGAAAGACCCACTTCTCTTTGTATTCTCTCTCTTACACAAAGGAGTGGTATTCTCAGACTAGAAAGACCCCCGCTCGGAACTGGATCACACGCGGTATGGCCCCTCAAAGCCGATTCAGGCAAAGCCTTTAATATCAGAAGACCAGCTTGTTATGTAAGGGTCACTGCTCCGCTGCTTAACCAGAAGTTGGGGGTTTGAAGCAGCAGCAGCCCAGAGGAAAAGACCCCGGAGAGCTGATCCTGTAAAGTCAATCCATGGGGCATCGTCCTCTGTGCTGCAGAGCGACTCTTGAGTTGGCTTCACTGGCACACAACAACGAGGGAAATAATGCTTCCACCTAACTAATGGATTTTTCCTTCCTTTGCTGAGCAAAGCATTCGCAGCTCACTGCGACTGACATGGGAACTAATGAAAGGCTGCTTTGATGTGATTGCTTGCTTACTCAGGCCCCTATAAGGACACAGCGCGGGCGGCTGTACATGGGTCAGCAGCTGTCATCAATAAGTGCTCACACTCACGTGGTCCCATGTGAAAGCTCACCCCAGCCTAGTCTCTGCAGGCGCTGGGCAAGGCGCCCCCACTGGGGGGCCAGGCAACGAGCCAATTGAGCTGATCCTTCTTCCAACGCTAATTGAAAAATGACACGTCCATTCAATGAATCCTGTCATCAGAATCGTTTAAACCCTAGAATGTGTTAAAAGATGAGCGGGCCAAGGCAGGGCGTTGGATTGGAGGTGCCCTGCCTGACTGCTGATGCTGCAGAACACACCACTGGGGGAAGGCAGGCGAGGAGACATGTAGGGTTAGACCGGAAACCTTCTGCAAGGCTTTTGGGACCAGGACAAAGAGCACCCTGGAGGCTCTGGCAGTGTCCTCCCCCATCTCAGTCCCCCCTCCCTTCGGCATGCTTGGGGTCAGCTCAGTTTCTCTACCTCTGAGCGTTCCAAGGGGTCCAATTCTTCAGTCCTAATCCCTAGTGCCTTTAGTCACAAGGATGGCACATCTGCTAGTGGGCCTGCGTTGGGGTCTCCCACTGGGGGACTTTCAACAGGATCAAGACAGTATTCGATAATGCCAGCTGGCAGCGTGAGAAGATGGCTCATTTCTGGTGCTTCTCAGAGCTTATGGTGAATGAGTCTGGTATTCTGAAAACTACTTAAATACTGTCCCCCGGCAGACTTCAGCTTGGGAGCCTTCGACAGGCTGAATATCTAGTGTTGACAGAATAGAAGCACCTTAATTGGGTGGCCCTAACACAATTTTTTTGTTCCTCAGGTTAGCTGCCGAATGCAGGGTCCTGGTTGTCGGGGAAGGCTTTCTCTCTCGGTAGACTGTGGGAAAGTCTTGGTCTCTGAGTTTCTGCTCCAAGACTCCCTGCACGTGCCTTCTCCTCTTCCATCCCCCATTACTGCTGCCCGTTTGCAGTTCATCCCTTCTCTATCTCAAGAGAGATGATGCAGGAGACACCCTCCACAAATCCCATCTCAACATACCAAGTCAAGCCCTACCCAAATAGGATTATAACCACACATTTGGGGAAGGGGCAAAATTCAATCCATAACCCTTCTTTTGAATTCCAGGCTATTTAAGCCATCTTTCCTCTCGTTGAAAGCAAGCGCTAGAAACAATTCAGTCTGCAAGATACTGACATCCCAGATCTAAGAGTCTGAATTTTTCCAGACTCGTATTAACGATCCAATTCTCTGTCGTATCTCAAAGGATTCTACCCACTGGGCCAATGAACATTACTCAACTTCAACAACAAGCCCCCCAAAGAAGGTTACCTTGGGCTTGAAATGCACAGAGGCGGGAAGCTGTGACAGAAGAGGAAGAGGAAGTGGGGGTGCCCTGGACCTTAATTGCCATAGGATGCCAAACAAAGGGTGGCACATGCTGAGACCTTGCCAGGGACTGGCAGCTTAGTGACCATGTTCCCCTGGAGCTGTTAGAGAGTTCTGCTACTCAGAGATGATGATTATAGAGCTCTACCTCTGAGAAAATAGCTACCTTCTACCAATGGTATAAACGTCCTACTTTTGATTCTTTGAAAGACAATGAAAGATTCAACAACTGGGGCAAACTGGTAAAGTACACATGGGACCTCTCTGTACTTCCTTTGAAACTTCATGTGAATCTAGAATTATTTGAAAATTAAAAAGAACCCTGCACCCAACTTCAAAGAAGAAGACGAAGAAGAAGAAGAGCAATCACTGCCAGCCTGACTTGGGAAAACTGTTTCGTGGCTGTGCAATCAATCTTTGGTTCAATGTCTTCTATCTTTCTATTGGATTCTTAATACATTAAGACAGTATCTTTTTCTGCCATAATTTTTATACACAATTTTCCAGTGTGTCATCTGCCGTATAAATTATCTGCCTCCTGCAATGTTTTGCAGTCAAAATTTTAAGTCCTTTCCTTTGGAATTTTTTAATCACTGGTCTTATTATTAAAAAGACCTCCACCAACCAGAGAACAATTAACCTTCACGTCTACTCTCTCTTCAGTTTTTTTTAATGGTTTGAAATTTCTTCATTTAACTCTTTACCTGGAATGAACACTACCATACTTTTACTCAGATAATATGCATGTAGCACATTTTAGCCAACTACATAATCCCTCCACTCCCCCTGCGTGGTATTTTCATGAGCATTACATGTGCGAGTGCATTCTTTATATGGCTGCATTATTGGCAAAAAAAATACAGTATAGGATCAACATATGGTTTTGCTTATTTCCAATTATTAAAATGCTCCCCAATCATAACTGATGCTAACTCATCCCTATTGGCTTTGGTCCTAGCCCATGGAAAGTTGTTGGATACAGTGGGGTCTCTTTCAGAGCTCCTCTGCTCCAATCATGAATGGGCCAAGACCACATTATTTCAATCCATAGAGTGTGCTTGACATTTTAGTATCGAGTTGGAGAAGTTACTCTTCATAATTATACTGCTCTCTACTAATTTGTCCTCCAGTTCATCAGAAGGAAACATGTGCCCGGGTATAGTTAAAAGAGAGCTTATGGGCCTTCTCTGGAGACTTCAGAATGACAGCATCTCTTCTGTGGACCCCACGTGCCTTTTCCCAGCATCCTGGAGAGTCCAAGCCAAAGGACCACAAAATGGATGGTGTGGTACCTGGGCCCGGGGCACAGCCACCAGCAGGAGAAGGGCCCACCTACTTAGTCAAGAGAGAAGGGACTAGACTGAACATACTCCTGTCCAGAGACTGGTCCCTGTAGGACCCAGTGCACAAGACAGGGCCTCTGAGGACTGCTTTCTGGCACAGTGGTGACCAGCAGAGACTATAATGGAAGGGACAGGGCCACAAAGGTATGCCCAGCTCCATCAAAGCAAATGAGGTCAGCCCCCAGGACGTCTCTCTTCTACTCAGAACTCATGCTCAATGACTCACTGCCCTGCAGCAGGTGATCAGCAGTACTCTTCATTGCTATCAGACTTGTGAGCAATTCCCTTTGAGGAAAATGTGCTCACATACACCATAAAGAAGAACAGATGTTCTCTCAGGACATTTTGATAGCGAGAGTAGTCATCAAGCTTGTGTTGTCACCATTCTGGTCTCATTAGAAATGGAAAAACACGCAGACCCCATAGGGCTTCTCACATATGCACTGACACATGTGAATGGAAATGAGTTTTCTCCTGTCCTGCATGGTTCTGGCCCCAGGGTGGGTGTCTACAAGATTAGCCTTGTATTTAGAGGCCTCGTATTGGCCTTCGCACCAACCAACCTTGTTCACTAAAGTCATGGCATAAACCAGCAGCTCCGTGTCGACCCCATCTTTTTCTTCCAGGATTTCCATGATATTTGACCAGGGTTTAACTCCTAAAAGCAGAGCACACAATCATTAGAAACAGCGATTTGACCATCAGCTCTCTTCACACAGTGTCCAAGGCTTTAGCTGCTTTTTCTCCCAAGGGTGGCAGCATCTTTCCAATGGCAAATTCTAAAGTGTGACACTACCCTTAGCGTGGCCTGGAGCATGCTTATCATTAGCATTTCCTGACTGCTAACAACTTACCCAGTCATTGTTACTCCCTTGAAAATGACCCTCTTGGGTGTCAGGGTACCTCTCTACTCACTTTGCAAACTTCCCTCTATATGAAACATGTAACATTAAAAACATTCATTCATGTACAACTCCTTTGACCTTGCATATCAATCACAAAAAGTGAAAAACTCTTATCGAAGTGTTCTCTGCAACGTTCACTGCCATCATATTACACTCTGGTCTCCTGGGAGGACAGGGGGCGTGGAAAAGCCATAGGAGGTCCCAAGAAAGAACTGCAAAACCCAGTCTAGCGTTCATTTCAGGAGCAGAATTACAGGGATCTCCATGCAATCAGAGCACATAGTTCCTTCTAGAACCTCTTCGGTAAAGGATGTGCATAAGAGACAACCTTTCTTGCTGGAAGCAAGGAGGACTTGAAGCACCTGCTGAGGCTCCAGGGCTGCAGCCTTCAGGATGGGTTGCAACTCAAGGCAGAGAAAACCAAAATCATCATCACAGGACCCCTAGACAACATCGTGATAAACAAACAAAGCGCGGATATCTTCAAGGATTTCCCTTTGCTCTGATCCACAAGCAACGCTCCGGGAAGTGGCAGTCAAGAAATCAAATGACGTATTGCATTGGGCACATCTGCTGCCCAAGACTTTCTTCAAGTGGTGAAGAACAAGGATGCCACTTTGAAAATGAATGTGCGTTTGAATCTGCCAGCCAGCGAGGGAGGCGACTTGTGGTGTTGAATGTGGAGGGACTGGGGCAAGCAGCCGGGATCGGAGCGGTTATGCCCAGGCGACGACAGAGAACAGGAAGACGCTTCCCATTCTGGGCCACTGAGCTTTCTCTAAACGTATCTCCAAAGGGATATCCCCTTTCCCACTTGGTGGAAATGAAGCCTGCTATAGACAAACAACAATAAATAAAGCAAATGGAAGTCAGCGAAGGCCAGTGGTTTCTGAACGATGGTCCCTGGGGCTAGTTGAGCCCTAGTCGATTTTGAGAGAAGTTACACTTGGGCCCAGATGGCCTTGTCTGGTCTCTGAGCTCCCCATACCGTGCCTGGTGTGCAGTACGATCATCCCAGCTCACAGCCACCTTACAAGACAGGACAGCACTGCCCCTGCGCTTCCCGAGACAGTAACTCTGTACGGGAGTAAAAAGTCTCCCCTTTCTCTCACAGGGAGGCTGGTGGTTTCAAACTGCTGACCTTGCCATTAGCATCAAGTGCTTAACCCACTCTCAGGGCTCTGTTGGTATACAGCAGGGACCCAATAAAATGCCTGCTGAGTAGAGACTGGAGCGCTCCAGGAAGGCACAGAGAGGTTTTCCACTGGAGCCCGTTTTACAAGAGCCAGCAGAGCCGATGTCTGTAGTCAGAAGAGGGGGTCAAGGAAAGTAGGCAGCGTGTTTTTGCTTTTACAGGGAAGACAATTTTAAAAATACAAAATCAAAAGACGGGGCACTGCCATGGATGTTACCTGTGGCTGTAATCCCATTGGAGAATAGTTTGTTATGTTGATGAGGCTATGTCAGTGTTGGGTGTGCCCTAAATCTAATCACTTCCAAGCAACAAGCCCACATGGAAGAAGGACGCCAGCCCGTGGGATCAGGAGGTGTTGACGGAATCAGGTAACAGACACCAGAAGGCTCAAAACTAAACAAACAAACAAACAAACAAAACATATTGTTGAGAATGAGGGGAACCAGAGCAGAGACTCAAAGCCCATTTGTAGACAACAGGACATCCCCTCACAGAAGGGTGACAGGAAGGGATGAGTCAACCAGGGCGCAGTATAGCCCTGATGAAACACACAATATGCGTCTGGTTCTTTGAGGCTTCCTCACACCCCCACCATCATGACCCCAGTCCTGCCTTTCAGTTCTGGCTAGACCGGAGCATGTACACTGGTACAGATAAGCACTCACAGCACACAGAATCTGGGTCATATAAACTCCTCAGGAATAGAAATAGGAGTAGAGATACTAGAGATACCAGGAGGGTAAGGGGAAGATTGGGGGGCGGAGGAAGGAAGGGGGAACCGATTACAATGATCAACACATAACTCCCCCCACCCCCAGAGGGATGAACAATGGAAACATGGGTGAAGGGAGACAGTGATCAGTGTAAGATATGAAAACAATAATAATTTATAATTTATCAAGGGGTCGCAAGGGCGGGAAGGAGGGAGGGCAAGCAAAAAGAGGAGCTCATACCAAGGGCTCAAATAGAAAGTAAATACTTAGAAAATGATGATGGCAACATATGTACAAAGATGCTTGATATAATTGATGCATGGATTGTTATAAGAGCTGCAAGAGCCCTAATAAAATGATCTTTAAAAAAAAAAAAGAGTGATTAGACACAGAAGAAAGCCAATAAAGGGGAAGTAGATACCGGGTGATGACAAAGGCAGATGAGGCTACAAGCCAAGGGCTGCTGGCTGCTGGCAGCTGAAATAGACAAAGGAGGGCCTCCCCCCTAGAGCCACACTCTGAATTTGGACTTGTAGCTTCCTGGGACGTGAGAACATAACTGTTCTCTAATGCCATCCACCTGCCGTAGTTTTGTTACAGAGGCACGAGGAAATGAAGACCCGTTGTGCAGGTGGAAGGACACAGACAGGGCCACACAGGACCCCAGGAAGGCCAGACCAAGAAACAGAGGTAGACTTTTTGCTCTGGCCAACGCGTCCAGCTGGTTAGAACTCGTCAAGCTTCTAGAGCCCTGTGTTGCCTGAACACAAGTGCACGTTTGGTAGCCTGCTGCTGCTTCATTATCCCCCGGCTCATACTGACCATCAAACTGGTCCGAAGTGCATGCCACAGCGGAAGTGGCTTTAGAATGCCAGTGAGCCACCATCTCTGAACCCTAGATGGCCCATGAAGTCTTAGACCCCACTGCCCAGTGCAGCTCCAGAGCCCCAGCCACATGCCCTTGCAGGGTTCATAAATGGGGTTCATAACATGAGGGGTCATCCACATGCGCTCGGGGAGAAGGCATTTATGCTGAGAATTTCCAGTGGTGCTAGTGGGCTCAGGGATACTTCCTGGGTGCTGATGGTGGAGCCAAAGAGGGAGGGCCTCACGGGAGTCAAGGAAGGACAGGCTATGATGCAAGGGCAGCAGCCCAGAGAGGGGAAGCAGCGGTCTCAGAAACACACACATGCAGACACGGGCGCCACTTCCAGCCTTTCCAACAGAAACACCCCAACACGGGCTTAATTTCATTGGAAACTGTGCTCTTCAGCTGTAATCCATACCTGATTAGCTGATTATCATTCAAGGATTTCTAAGTCTGGAAACTTGAAACTATTTATATACCATTGGGAGGGATATTCACTCTCTTTGGATGGTTCTGGTCCCAGAAACAATTTACAAGAATGAAAGTGATGGGGGTGGGGTAGGTGGGAAACATTTGGTTCAACACAAACAGCCCTGCCAGGGCTCAAGCTAGGCCTGACTTAGGGGCTGCAGTCACAGTCTTGCCAAGAGCAGCCTCCTGTGAACCATTGGCCTGGGTTCACAAGGGCTTCGCCCTTTGCTGATTCCATGGAGCTTTGTGTGCATATGTGTAGGGTGAGGAGAGGCAGGATCTTTGCATAGACCACATATTCCTGCCCCTCCGTGTAACAGAGAAAGATGCTGAGCTCCCAAAGTAGCAGGACAGATGGAGGCTCAGAAGACTCATCTGTAAACCCAAGTGTAACATCTACTTAGGCTGCGAACCACAAGGTCAGCAGTTTGAAACCAACAGTCACTCCTCCGGAGTGGAGGACAAGGCTTTCTACTCCAAGCGCCAGTCTCAGAAACCACCAGGGGCAGTTTTCCCCTTCCTGTGGGGTTGCTATGAGTCAAAATCGACTCGAGGCACTGAGGATGAGTTTTGGAATTTGGGGAGGTCCCTTGGAGATAATGCATTTGGCTGTCTTTCTTCCTTAGTCCTGAGGAAGTGCATTAACCAGCCAACCGACCAAACCAGTTGCTTCAAGTCAATCCCCACAGTGGCCACCCCAGCTATTGCCCAGTAGAACTGTGCCCTGCAGGGGTTCGGAGGCTTCACCCTTTGGAGAGCCAATGACTAAACTCTTCTTCTGAGGTACCTCTGGGAGGCTTTGAGCCATCAACCTTCTGGTTAGCAGTCAAGCACTTAACTGTTCGTGCCACCAACGAAGTGCAGTAGCGGGCTTAACTTAACTGTCAGGTCTGTTCCTCTCCCACTGACCTCAAGCCTGGAGTGGAGGCTGTTCTCCCTGAGAGCAGAGCAGGGATCTTCGTTTGGGGCTCTGATGTTTACAACCACATGCAGGACCCAAGCCATATATGACAGGTAAAGGAGTTATCCGGGAAGAATGCCCAGCGTAGTGTCTGCTCCCTCCCTCAACTATCAGAGGCACCCATCTTAAGGAAAGCTGGTGGTGCTGACGCCCAAGCTTCCCTACAAGCCTCCCACACAGGCTCCAGGCCAGTCCTCTTCCCACCAAACCACAGTCCCTCTCTCTTAAACCCAAGACACACAGCAGAAATCACACCCCACTTGGTGCCTCTCTCTTCCCTCCTGTGTCTCTGCAGGGCTGCTTGAAAGGATGGCTGGGGCGGGGGTGCTCCAGTTAATCATGTGTGATACACGGTTTGAGAATTGTGTCATATCGCATCACCTTGGATCCAGATGAACATTGGGGGCCTTCAAGAGTAGTGCTGAATCAAGTCAATGTGCCTCAAGAGTCCTGCCCGGCATTTCCAAATAAGCTCCTCTATCTGGTCAGGTCCCCGCCTCTGCCTGGGCGGCTAATCTGTGTGGTTGTAAGGAAGGCCAGAGCCACCCGAAGGAGCAGGGTGCACGTTCCTGTGCACCCACAATGGTGGCAAGGAAAGGCGGTCTCGGTGGGTGCAGCGTGGCAAAGCAAGGGGCACTCAGGAGCTTCCATGAGCACTCACTGCCCCACCCCACCCCCAGCGGGAACCTGCCTGAAAGGTGCCCCCAAAAGATGACAGGAGGTACCATGCCATGTCCCTGAGATGACTGCAACTTACAAAAACGGCACCCACGGCATTACTTTTTCTGTTTTGCAAACCTCTGGCGTGGTCATTTCCTGTGAGCACTGCAGCACCACTTACTTGAGCGTGTTACGTGTGGAAACTGTAGTCAACACAAATCCACATCTCCAGGCCAGCCTACGAGCAAAAGTGCCAGACACCTGGTCAAATGGGAACATTCCTTCGTTTCATGGGCTCACAAGTATTTACAAGCTTCTAAGATGGACTCTCCAAAGCCCTGGTGGCATAATGGTTATGAATTGGGCTGCTAACTGCAAGGTCAGTGATTCAAAACTACCAGCCGTTATGAGGGACAAAGACAAGGCTTTCCAGGACAGATTAAACCCCTCAGAAACAGTAATGGGAATAGGGACACCATGAGGGTGAGGGGAGGTGGGGGAAGGGGAAGAAAGGGGAAACCGATAGCAGGGATGGATGTACACCACCACCACCACCCACTGCCCCAGAGGGATGAACAACAGAAACGTGGGTGAAGGGATACAGTGGACAGTGGAAGATATGAATCTATACATATACTTTATCAAGGATTCATGAGGGTGGGAGGGAGGGAAAAGAGGAGCTGACACTGAGGGCTCAAGAAGAAAATGAGTGTGTTTTTAAATGATGATGGCAACATATGTACAAGTGTGCTTGGTATCATTGATCTATGGACTGTTATGCTATCTGTAAGAGCCCCCCAATAAGATGACTTAAATTAAAATCATAATAAAGACAAGGCTTTCTACTCCCGTTAAAGAGTTACAGTCTGGAAAACCCACAGGGGCAGTTCTACCCTGACCTCTAGGGTCACTGTGGGTCAGAGCTGATTGGAGGCAGTGTGTGTTGTTTGTTTGGGGGTTTATGATGGACTCCAACATGCACCTAGTGTCGCAATGGCTAGGAGTCAGCTGCTAATCAAAAGGCCAGTGGCTTGCACCCTTCAGCAGCTCTGGGGGGTGGGGTTGGAGAACTAGCCCTCTGCTCCCACAAAGAGAATGGCCGGGGGAAACCTATGGGGCAGCTTTACTCTGTCCCATCAGGCCACCGTGAACTGCAGTGGACTTGACAGCACACACAGCTGAATGGACTCGGGTCCCCTGGCGATGCTGCTCATCCACTTGCTTATTGGCTGATGGTGGAAGGTGATCTCTTCTGCAGGTAGCCTCCCTCCTTTAGCAAGCCCTCTCTCATGGAAGAGCAAGCTGTTCACAATGGAAAGAGGGTGTCCTCGGGTTCACCTCGGGTGGCCAGCAGAGTGCTCATAAAGCAGAGACATTTGTTCTGGGGCAACTCCTTTTGCTTTAGGGGAGAATCCTTTTTTGAGAACGCACAGCTTGTGGGTTGGTTTTACTTCCACACGCCCATTCTCCACTACCAACACCCTGGAGGAATGCACCCCAGCCACATCGAGAAGTAAGATTTACGGTTTATTTATAACCTAGGGCATGAATGGGCATGCTCGACTTGCCCTCAGTCACCGCTGGCATCCCGGTCTGCTCCCACGCCCAACTGAGAGGGAGCTGGAGCACGGCTTCCAGCCGGCGAGGTGGAGGCCCACCTGGCCATCACATCGCCCCCTGCAGAACGCCCTGGCATAGTCTGTGTTTCACACCATCCTGCAGCCCAGGACCGGTTTCACTAGCAGTAAAATCGGATGATGTGATGTGTATGCCTTACGCATTCACAGCCAAGACCACACATGTCCATAAAGAAACATGCTGGCGAACCACATGTGATTAGCTATTTCTGACTTTTTCCATGGGTGCTGTGGTTTTTTCTCTGTTTCCTTCACCTTTCGTGCTCAATAGCAGACAGCTGATCACAGCTGCCAAAAGTGTAAGAACATTTTATAGGGAAAACCATCAAGTTGAGAAAACAATCTATTGGGGGTTTGTTTGTTGGTTTGTTTTTACAAGTTGGGGGAAGATGGCATCATTGTGTCTTGGTAGCGGGACCCTGGGCCCCAGGGAGCCTCTGGCTGGGATGTGGCTCATAGGGAGAAAGGCTCGGTGCTCTGGTCAGCGTGGTTCCTCTCCCAGTGCAAAGTCTCCAGAAGGAAGCTCTGTGACCCCAGGTCAATGAAGCCAAAGGAGACCCTACAGGTCCCAAGAAAACGCCCAGCTCCCCGCATGACCAGGGCCCCTGGGTTGTGAGGAATGCAGGGAGGAAGTCAGTGAGCCCATGAATTGTCGGAAGTGAGTTCCGTGTCGACGCGGGAGGATGAACTCTCCCAGGATGTGGGAAAGGAGCTATCCTGTGACCTTCTTTCAGAACACCCACCGCCGCTGGCCCCAGACCTAATTCACCTGCCCCCAGAAAAGCTGCATGCGGTTTCTGAGCTATTGTGCATGCAGGGGCATGCCGTTTCTGTAAGGATTCTCAGCTGGCCCCTATCTGCTCTCCACCATCAGGGTCTTCCCATGTGGTCAGACAGCAACCTGCTGTGGTAGAAAGAAATTGGCTCCATGAACTATGGTTTTTCTCCTTCCCGTGCTGAACAGAGACCTAGCATTACCCTCCTGGCCTTTAGTGGACTCCGCAGGTACCGATACTTATCTATGGATCTCAGGGATAGAGTAGGAGCCCCCAGACCAGTCTTGGAGAACTTCTCCTAGTGTACAGCCACACTTTAAAGTTGCCAGGAGGTGAGTTCCTTTTGCCTGTGGATTTGGGACTGGACACTGGGCCTGTGAACAATACTGAGTCACAACCACAAATGGCTTGGGTCAAGAGGTGCCCTGTAAGTCCTTCGTTTCTTTTGGACAGTTAAATCTGGGTTGCTGTGGACACAATCGCACACATGTGCACATTCACGAAAGTGTAACGAACACGAGCCCCCAACGCCAGCACTGAACAGTGGTGATCTCTGGCTGGTGAGACGAGAGGAGAGTCTTACTGCCATCGTTCACCATGCACTAACCCAGCTGTGTGACTGTGGTGGTGACGAAGGGAACAAGCCCGGCAAAGGCAAAATGAACAACATGCCGGCACTTCAGCCTCGGGTTTCCCGACATCAGAAGAGCCAAAGGGTAATGCCCACGGACCCAGAGCCCGCGCTCCTTCTTTACCAACAGGGGCATGGGGGATTTGTGAACCCAGGATGGGCAAGGTGTGGTGCAGGAGGCAGACAGGAGAGCAGGTGGGCAGGGGCTGGGTACTGAAGGGTCTTCTGAGCTGGGAAAGGGGACTTGGACTTTCTCGTATAGGCCCTGGGAAGCCACGGGGAAGTGATGGCTGGGGAGGGAAGTGACCAGCTCTGGGTCTTAGAAGAGGGCCTCCAATAGCAGAGGCCAGGGCGGCACTTTGGGTGATGGGTAGGCGGGGGTGGGGATTCCAGGTGAGAGTCAACAAAGGACCCAAGTAAGTCAGGGGCAATGGGATGAAAGAAAGGAAGGGATAAGGTTCAAGCCAGACCTGGGGGTTAGATCCGGTGACGCACAGTGCGAAGCCAGCCAGGTGAGGTGAAGAGAGGGAAGAAGGCAGGGTGCCCCCAGACGGGAGGGGGACAATTGGAGGATGAACTGGGTCTGCACCGGGGTCTGCCCTCGGAACAGGGCGGAGGAGAAAGGCTAAAGATCCGCTTGGTTCTGATCTGCCCTGTGTAAATCCCTGAGTGCTTTTCTTTGTCAACTCACATTCTGTCCCTACGCTTTGTATACTGTAAACATCCACTCTTCGCTGGTCAACATGGTTAGGTTCCAAAGGCCGGGTCATTGCGAAAGACAATTGGCCTTAGGTGAAAATGGAGGGTGAGCACATCAGATTCCAAAGTGGAGAATGATCTCATTATAGAGCTGTCGGATTACATCATTACATAACCACCAACCCCCCCCCGGGACCTGGGCCCAGCCAGGTTGACACATAACCTCAACCATCACGGCCAATCGGTGCTCTTCACCTTGGCTTTCATTACCGCCCAGATGTCTGTCATCAAGTGCAAAACAGCCAGCTAGCAGATTTTTACTATTATTGTCCATATGAAATGATGCCTCATGATCTATAGTCCGAAAGTAAGGAGTAGGTGTGCTTATTATTCTTAAATAGATGGCTCTTAAATTAAAAAGTCCAAATTATGGGAGGAAAGCAAACAACAAAGTCACAGCAGCCCTGCGTGGCTCAGAGGGGGACTGTGCCCCACAGGGGGTTCATCGGCGGTGATCTTTCCGCAGTCGGTCACCAGGACTTTCGTCCAAGAGTCCTCTGGGTGGACTCGAACCGCCAGCTCTTCAGTTCAAAGCTGAAGGCTTTGAACCATTTGTGGCACAAAGATCCATAGGCATCAAACGGCCACTGAATTCTCCATCCAACAGGCACAGGCTGGGAAGGCCTTTCTACGTTAGATCATCCACCTTGGTGACACAAGGGGAGGAGGCAGGCGCTACTCACCTCTTTTCGTGTCCACAGCCGAGACAGCCTGGATTAAAAGCGGGGCGTTGGACTCCGAGTACTCCACAAAGACCAGCAGCAGCTTCAGGGCTGTCTTCACCACCAGGCGGAACTGGGGAGAGAAGTTCAGACCATGATATACCTGCAGACATGGCCTTGCACAAGGACAGCCTCACCCTCGAACCAGCGGCCGGCACCCAAAGCTGGCTTTGACCTCGACATTCCTCTAGGACAGTGGTTCCCACGGGCTCCCTCGTCCGATTCTCACAGGCACCGCCGGGGAGACAGAGACTCTCTTTATGCCCATTGGACAGACCAGGAAATTGAGGTCCAAAGCAGCCTGCCCTAGAGGACACAGCTAGTGAGACAGAGGACCAGAGTTTGAGCCGAGGGCATCTGGCCCCCAGCACTCACCTCAAGCAAGTCTCTCCACAAACGAGTTCGCATTTGTGGAGTTCATGACTGCTTCTCATCCTGACCAGGAACACTGACAAAGAACGGACATGCTTCGCACCGTGCTTGGATTCTTCCTTTGTTTGGGATCTCAAGGCAGACTCAGAATGGTTAGAAGCATGAAGAAACTTTAAGACGTGCAGAAACTTAGGGACCGGCTGAAGAGTGTCACCCATCCTAGATAATTTCTCTAAAGTCATGTGACAACCACTGGCTCTTTCTCCTGTCATATTTGCCTAGAAGCTACCTCTCCTCTCCTGCCCACACCTCAACTAGTGCCCTGGTTCTTAGCTGCCTTATCTAGAAAATGCCTCAAGCTACTGCGACACTCCCTGGTCCTACTTCGTCACTTCCCCACATACACCCCAATCCAGTGGGGCTTCTGTAAACACCACTCAGATTAAATTGCACTTGCCCATGTTGCCACCAACCCTCAATGCTGTCCAACCAATGGCTACGTCTCTGCCCATTGTAGCTCCACCCTCCACATCACATGAAGCAACTCACTCCTCCCTTCAGAAACAGTCTCCACTCCCGGGGCCACCACTTTTCTGTTTCTCTACGTGTGGAAAGATCTGTACATACCTCTAGGTGAGTCTATTCAGCCCTTTAGTTTCAAATTCAATATATGACTCAAAGCTAAATGTTTCTTTCCTGGCCAGACCAAACTTCTGAGCCTAGGGGTCCTATATCCACCTGGTTCCCAACATCTTCACTGGGAGGTCAAGAGGCACTTGGAAGTCAGTGTGACCAAAGTATAACTCTTATTCTATATTGATGCTCATGCCCTCCCAGCTACCACTGCCGACCTATTTCTTCCCTTTCAAAGTCTCCCCGTCTCAGTACCGGGCCTCACCACTCGCTGGGGTGGGATGTGGGGTGGGGAGAGTGGGACTAACACTGCACTTCTCTCACCCTGGTTTCTCAACAAGTCCTTCTGCCAGCACTGTCCAAGCTTCTACAAGGCCTCTCCTGAATCTCTCTCCAACTCTCTATTTTTCCTGTCCCCCCCTTGATCACATTGATGGCCTCCTCCGTGCTCCCTGCTGTAGTCCATTCTCTGAACTACAGCCAGAGGGGACTAATAAGCAACCTCATGCTAAACGAAGAAAAAGATGGAAGTTATCAAGGATTTCATTTTGGATGATTCAAAACATGGATCCGCAATCACCACTCAAAGCAGCCGCAGTCAAGAAAGTAAATGATAAATTGCACTGGGAAAACCTGCTACCAAAGACCTCTTTACAATGTTAAAGAGCAAAGATGCCATTTTGAGGACCAAGGTGTGTATGGTAGTTACATAATCTCCTGTCAACTTGATGGTATTAAGAGTGAAGGGGTGGGGTTTAGTCTGTCAACCAGGTTGCAGCTTGAGGACCTCATTTAAAGGCGTGACAGAGATGAATATCTCCCTGGAGGTGAGACCCATGCTCTCTCTGCCTTCCCTTTCCTGCTGCTGGGACCCTCAGGAAGCTGGAGGAGCCACATGGAGACCCATGCCAGCATCAAAATGCTTCCACTGCCACTGGATCCCCAAGACATTCTACCCACCAGCCTGTGATCTTCCTGCATTCAGCATCACTGCATATACTGCATGATACTAAAGAGGAATATATGGATTAATAGGCGACATATGGGCTACTATTGCAATTAAGGACTTGATCTGGGCTGGGCTGGGATGTTTTCTCAATAAACAGTTGTTCTTTGATATAAAGCTCTTTCTTATCCATATGAATGTCCCTGGATTTGTTTCTCTAGTCAACCCGGCCTAGCACAGTGTGTTTGACCCAGGTCACGGTATTTTCAATTGTGCCATTTGCATGCAAAAGGTGGGTGAGGAGTAAGAAAGACTGAAGAAGAACTGATGCGTTCGGATTATGGACAAAGAATGTTGCATATGCCAAGGACTTCAAGGAGAATGAACAAATTGTCTTGGGGGGAAAATAAAAGTCAGAATGCTCCTTAGACATGAGGATGGCTAGACTTTGGACATGTCATCAGGAGGGAGCAGTCCCTGGAGAAGGACATCAGACTTGAGAGAGTGTCAACAGCGTTCCCTTCTGTTGGGTATAGGGTCCCTCTCAGTTGGAAGTGACATGACAGCACCTACCACCACCCCATGAATGTAATGCTTCAGAGGACTGTGTACTCTTTAGGGGGTTCATATCCTGCCAGCTCAACCTTTGCTTCTCGGTTCACTGAGCAGAAAGAGAATCAACCCAGTGTTTTTCTCAATAACTACAGCTGGGGGGCGGAGGACGGAGAGGCATGCCACAATGAACTGTGCTGTCTTTGTGAATTTGAGCTGAAAACACCTCAAGTAAATTCAAAAAGCGAGCAAGCCCAGGCTTGGTTGCTCCTTGGTGGGTGGACCATCATTATGTGGTTTCAGTCTTCGAAATGCTTCCTGGCAAGGAAGCTGGCCACTGCCCAAGCCCACTTCCCCTATGAGCGGGTTCCTCGGGCCTCCAGTGCCCAGCTCACTGAGCTTTCTTCTGAGCATCTCTGCTGTTGGAGGGTCTTTGGACGGCGGGGTCCTGGGGACCCAGAATCTCCACGTCTCTCTCCCCTAAGTGGCTAATTAAGAAACCACTGTTTTCTAGCAAAACCTCCCCCTTGGTTTTCTGTTGGCCTCCACATGCCTATTCATGTCTCCCTACCTTTGGTTGTAAGAGCACTCTGGATTTCTTTGGCACTGAAATTATTCTTTCAACCCCCAAATCCTTCAGATTCAGGGTTTTCAATTCTCTGTGAATCTGACTTCCATTCGATTCTAAGTGTATGTTTGTGTGCTTTTGAAACTATGCAAAGTGAATCACAAAGCTGTAGATAAACTACTCTGGGGGTGCGGGGGACAGAGAGAGAGAACGTCTTGGAAGATTACGTTTATGGAGATGCGTGGTACTAATTACAAACAGGTCCTAACTCGTCACCCTACTATGTCCACTAGGAGTCCTCCCCAGAAGGAGCTCATTAGCATGACTGCACAGGCATAAGAGTGACAAGAGGACATTACTTCAAAAGGGTCCGCCAGCACACTCCTTGTCCAGACACCAGTTGATTCTGTGGCCCGATGTATCCAGAAGCAGTCACCACCCCACCCCCCCAAATGACCCCCAAACCTTAGAGCAGCCCCCGTGGGGCCCTCATGCCTACCCGTCCAGGTCCAAACCCTCTGCTCTTCACAAGCCTCCCTTGGCATTTATCTCAGAGCTGCCTGCAGTGGCAGGGTCAGCGCTGACTCATCAGGACCACAGTACAGCAGCGCAGCCCTGTCCTCGCCTGTGCCATCCTCAGGACTACTGGCACGTGTGCGCCCACCAGACAGTACTTGTGGGGAACAGAAGGATTTCTCTTAAGTTGTCTCCCCAAAATATATAGCAGACTTAGCTGCTTGAGAATGAATGACTGTTCTTTAGGCAGCGAAAGCAGGTCAGAGGTTATTCTCCTTAACATCAGCCATCTAGAGCAGCCAGACTGCATAGTCTGACTCACCCCAAATAAGGCCCATTCCTTTCTGTTATTGTTCCCTCGAAGCAGTGCCCATAGGCAAGCCTGGGACCACTCTAAGATGACTAAGCTTAGGCTACTATCTTGCCACACATGCCCTCCTATTCCCTCCTCTTACTATTGCACATTCACCCCTAGGTCATCCCCCTCCTATTGCTTGTATTGCCTATGTTACAACCCCTCTCTATGACGTAGGTTGTTATCTGCTATCAGGGGGCTTGCATGTCTCCCAGGATAGTAATTGCCTGCTTTATTGTATGAGACACCAGAATGATCAAACCTGTTCTAGAATGAATTGTATTGCCCCTTTCTGTGATGTATGATGCTGTAATCAGATCCCCCTAAAGTGATATGATGCGTGGTTAGCAATAAATAAGGAGGCTCCCTGGTTCTTGGGAGGGTGGCTGGAGAAGGTGACTAAGGAGGATGAAGCAGCGGCTTCTTCTCTGACGACTGAGCCCCCTCCACGAGGACCATCAAGCCTAGCTGAGGTGAGCTATGCTACCATGAATTGCGTCTGACTCCATTACTTGACTCTATCCTTTAACTCTCATGCTCTCTATGACTTTACTATAATCTCTACTTATTATCGCTGTACAATTGCGCCTACCGAACCTGTGATGTTTTGTGGGGTTCCCTCTTCCCCTTAACCCCACAAGTACTCTCTTCTGAGCCATAGGGTTTTCATCAGCTAAATCTCAGCAGTAGCACCACGCCTTTCTTCCTAGTCTATCATAGCCTAGAAACTCTGCTGAACCCCCATCCCCACCCCCACCCCATCACTTGGTATTTGAAATACTGGTGGCAGAGCTTCTAGCAACACACAAGCCACTGCCGGACAACAAGCTGACAGAGATGGGGTGGGGTGGGTGCAGTTTCTCGACTGCAGAGAGTACCAACTCACATCCCAGGGAGAGGCGAAACCAGAGGGTCACGAGGGAGCAAGCAGGAGAGGCAGGCGCAGGTCACATGGCAACCAGAGTGAGGGTCCCGGGGGAGGAGGGATGGCACTGAGCTGCACAGATGCCCAGGAGGGCATCTAATTGCAATGGCTTCACGATTCTAATTGCAACGGCTTCATGATCCGAGGCCTGTCCTTCTGTTGAGCTCTGAGGGACACTCAATCAGAAGCAGCATCTGATCATAATGCCAACAAGTCGCGTTACACAGGGACACCTGGCTGTGGAGGAGGCAGCGGGAGATTCAGTGTTCCCAAGGTGGAAAGAGGAATCCACCTCCCCACTCCCACCCCCACCCCTGGAAGCTCAGAACGGCCCTTCACCTGGGCTTTTGCAGGAGAAGGGCACCGGCTGAACCCACCCAAGGTCTCCTCCAGTCCCAAGAGCCCCTGGGGGGTCCTTTCCAACTCATGGTGAGCCCAGGTTTTCCCAAGGAGAACCGTGCATCCCAGGGCTTTCCGTGGATAAATGTCCAAAGTAGACCTTCCTCTGGGTGGGCTGCCCAGGCCAGCCTTTCGAGCAGCCACAGAGGGCATTTACAGTCAGCACCGTCCTTAGGCAGGAACTATACAGATCCGGATAAAGGCAGAAAGTGTGCTTTGAGGGGCTCAGGAACATGCGTGAAACCACAGTCAGTGGTAGGAGTCTGAGCCAACCTCCGGCACGAGGGGAGAGAAGAGGCAGAGAGGGTACTTGGTGTGTCTGAAAGGCACGGGGCTGAGCTGTGGCTCTCGGCTCCAGCGCTCATCTGCCGCTTTCAGCTGCTCCTCAGCACTGAACAGAGGCCAGGAGTGTTCAGATGAAGAGCTTGGCCTAACCTGGTGGCCCTGGGGAGTTATGTTTCGGGGGTTGTGCTTGTCCAGGGGCTGAGCCTGGGGATCCAGGGTCACCTTTATGGCTGGCAGGGCTAGGAGCAGTGGACAATACCTATTCCATGCTTTGCTTCATTTTTAGGGTTTTTTTTTGGGGGGGGGGTGGCTCCCAGGGAAAGTGAGGAGTGAGGAGAAAGTCTGTACTGAGACACACCCCCTCCACCACCACCAGATGTTTGGGAAAGGAATGAAAGATGATGTCTCAAGATTTTCACACTCGCAAAGCAAACCGATGTCTTCTCATATCTTACTGCGCTCAGGAAAAGACAGCGACATGGGGTCAGCAAGTCCAATATACTGCTCAGTCAGCAGAAGGAAAAGTATCCCCCCCAAACCTTCCAATTCCTCCTCCTCTCCAGAAAATTCAACCACCAGAAAAAGAGAACAAGACCCAAACCTCGGGATGCACGTGACAAAGGGGATCCTAAACACAGGCTGCCGTCTATTGGCTTGTCTTTCACGAAAGGAGTGTGAAGTACACGGTGTCAAAGTGGTTGCTGGTTATTAAAACGGAATGAGAAATTGGTTAGATAACTTGATAGGCAAAGCTTCCCCGCCCTGTTCGTCAACTTAGCAGCACTTTCAAGTGTGCTGGCCATCTTGAAGAAGAGGAGGAGGAGGAAGAAGAGGAGAAAAGGAATCCAAACTTATCTTTATGAGCTCCTCAGTGAAATATTTTATTCCACCAAATTTCTGACAAGACATTCAGAAGGAGCCCTGAAGTCTTTGTTAAGTGGTGGTCAAACAGCCAAACCCACATCTTAGACCCTCCAAACTCTCTGCTTTCCTACCTCTGCGAGGTGGCCAACAAAGAAACGAAGAATGGACCCAAATAGATTCCCCGAGTCCAGAACCCTGGGCCTTGGCTCTCAGGAGGAGGAGCAGAGGGATCAGGGTGGGGTCTCTGACAGGGCAGTGTGTCCCCTGCACCGGCATGTGCTGTGGCCTTAGCGCCTATGTCAGCTGCCTAAGACCCAGTGCCATTTGCAGAAAGGGAACCAACTTTGTGGCTGTAGTAGTCAGGTGGTAGGCTGGGAACATCTCTAAGTATGTACAGTTTGGGAGCGGTATGTGCCATTGGGTCATTTCAGACTCACAGTGGCTCTGTAGGGCAGAGTAGAAGTGCCCCGTAGGGTTCCCCAGCCATGATCCTTTGGGAGCAGTTTACCAAGCCCGTCACCCTGCCCAGCTGCTAGTAGGTGTGAACTGGGAACACTCCGGCTAGCAGTCCACCTCTTAACCATTGTTAGCACTATACCAGGGCTCCTTTTTTCCACTTAGTGGATGGAAGATCTTTGCAGAATGTAAAATGCAGTAGACTTTTCAAAAGAATGGAAATAAGTAGCAACATAATAAATGCTACTACAAACCAGCATTTCCTTCTATTGAGATAAACTGTCTAGGGCTTAATGGGGGCTTTCTTTAAAGAGCAATGAATAAAATAGACAAGACCAGGCCCATTTGGCTACCTTTCTCATCGGCCATTCAAGGTAATGAAGGTGAGTTAGTTGACAATATGTAATGTAAACCCACACTTTTGTTGTCGACGAAGAAACGCTAAGAGTCCTGCATTGAGGTGCGACCTTCGGGATCACCCTAACAGTGTGTTCAGAGCAGAGGAGGAAAATCAGCAGAGTGGGGTCCTTGTCCAGGTAGGGGCATATGCCTTTTCAGATGCAAAAGCTCATGTTTTAAGAGGCTGCATAACTCCATGAACTTGTCTCACTTCTGGGTGAAGTCAAAGAAGAACTTGGGTCAGTCTGATTCTTTCTACGCTTATATGTGGAATCCCACCGTGCCTTCTGATACAGAAACTTACGCCTTGGGGAAATGCCACATATATTAGTTTCTGAGTAATAAACAGGATTAGAAATTTTCTTAAATGAGCCGTCAGCACTGGAAATATGACAATGGACAATACCAAACCTCAGGTATTCGGAATGTGTTATTAGCGTGAGTTTGGCAATCTGCTTACACCTACCTAATGGGGGTGGAAAAGGGTTGGCAGATAAGTGACAGTGGGCGGAGAGAGGCAAAACTCTGCCAAGACAGCAGGCATCCATCCACAAAAGCAATCCTGAGCCTGCAGGGCAACTCCTGGGCTAGCGCCCAGAATCCTGTGCTAATTCTGCTCCTAGTGTTCACCCAGCTCAAGAAGGAGAGGGTAAGACATCTCTAACCAAAGACCATTCTGAGATTGAGCCAGCTCATAAATTCTACATGGGCCAGCAAAAGGAGAATTGCTCTTTGATGTGAAATCAATCCTGGATACTGGATTTTGTGTTTATTGCTTCTACATTGTTTTAATTGCTTCTGTAAATATGTTTTATTAATAGAAATTTGAGTGAACAATATTTTTCAAATGCAGTCAGTGATAACAGATGGAAGGGAAAACAAACAAAAATTTCTGGTTATAATATGGACATTTTGATTACTAACAATATAATCCTTTATGTGATAGTTATATAATTGTTTGTCAATTTGAGAAGATGAAGAGTGAAGAGGTGGAATCTATTCTGTCAATCAGATCATAGCCAGTGAGGCCTGTATGAGGGCATGGCCTTCTCCTGAGGATTCTGGGAACTCCTGTATTCCTCCTTGGAGCAGGGAGACACACACAGTCTCTCTCTGCTCACTCCCTGGGAAACATTGCAGCTGACAAGACACATGGAGCTATGCTAGTGCCCTGAGCTGGAGGAACCTTGTGAAGACCCCTGCCAGCACTGAGATGCTTACAATGCCACTGGATCCACAAGACCACCCACCCACTGGCCTGTGATCTTCCTGTATACGGCGTCATTGCATGCGTTTCATGAGTCTGAAGAGGACTTTATGGATTGATATCAAACATATGGGCTCATATAGGACTTATGGACTTGATCTGGACTGGACTGGGATTACTTCTCAATGTTCAATTGCATATATATATATATATATAATCTTTCCTATACACATGCGTCTATGAATTTGTTTCTCTCGTCCACCCAGACTAACACACTGTAGGATACTGAGGTTTTAATAAGGTAACGGGGGGAGGAGGACAAACCTTGACAATGGATCGTGGCAATGGTTGCCCAGCCTGGCAAACAGAATTAAGGTCCCTGTGCATTTGCTCGGTAGGGCGCATAAATAAGGACCGTACTGGCAAACATTTGTCTTATGTATTTCACCACAAGTATTTTTCAAATAATCTTCAAAATGCTTATTTTTTCTGATGATAAGAGTACTATCTTTCATTTGCATGAGATGTCAGACATACAAAAAAAGGCGAAACACCGGAGACCTGAGTTCAAGTGAGCACCAGCAGTCACATGTCACGTCACAGCCACAGCCCGCATGTCCCTTATCCGAACATTCACTGAGTTTTTTGCGAACCCTAGAGAGGTTGAACAGACCTGGGCTCTGCGCCTGCCTTCTAAGGAACTCAGGGAGGGGAGTCACCAGTCTCTGCATCTCTCACGCCCCAGGACGGAAGCCAGTATGTCTCAGGTCACCAAGAGGAAGTAAGTAGTGAAGGATGTGCTGGGGGAGGACCAGCAGTGGACTGTGAAGGTACTCAAGACCCCAGGGAACAACCTGAGGTGGACATGCCCAGAGGCAGTGCTTCCAGGTGAGCCCGCCCTCCCTTACCGAGAGAGCATCTGGACCAAGAGGGGGGACTTCCTCATTGTAGAGCCCATTGAGGAGGGTGAGAAGGCAAAGGCTGAGGTCTCCTTGTGCTCCACAAGGACCATGTGCACTCCCCGTGGGACCAGGGGCTCTGAAGTGACCGAGAAACACAGCATCGGGAACAGACATACTCAGCCAGGACTCCTCGCCGAGCCCGTCCTCAGAAGATGAGTCCAGCTCTTTATCAACACCAACCGTAGATTGTGTCTTGAGAGCGAGGAGACAAGGAGATGGCCTGAGACTCCAGGACCTCCACTTGAGGGTCTCTGGTCGGGACATTCCTAGGGTGCCCTACAACCCCTCCTCCCTCCCAGGGGAACAAGGCTGGCCCCTGGAGGAGCAAAGCTATACCCTCATTCCTTTGCTTCTGACCAACAAGGCCAGGTGCTCCAGTAGAAACCCCACAGCACCCTGGATTGTCCTCTCGTGGGGAATGGTTCTCCTGTTTCATCATGGAATACAATTAATTCATGCTTTTTTAAAAAATTAAAAAAATAAAAATAACTTGAAATGTTCCCATTAGGCATAAAGATGGTTAAACGTTTTTATATATTTCCTTCTATTTCCTAATGTGAAATAGAAAATATGTCCCTCAAATGAGGTACAACCGATGCCCAATTAGAGTAAGAACAGCAGTTCAGGTAGTAATCACCCTTATCGCGTTGGAAGCAATGGAGATGAACGGAAACAGCCCCCCAGCCAGGAAGCATAAGGGTGTTGATGAGCTGGGAAAAATGTGATTTCATGGACAGTGATAAATGGGAGCCTGCCTTGCTATGCCAACTTCTACTAACAGCTCGATACAACTGCTTTAAAAAGATGGAAATCATATTTCATTTATACCTGGATGTAGTTATCCAAGTGGACCTTAACTATTAAGAATGACTGAGCACAACCTTTGATGTTCTGAGAATTTATAATGCAGGCAACTCAACAACTTAGACAACACAAAGTTAAAATGAGTAAATTTCCGAACAATAGAGAAAAAGAATAGGAGAGTGGGCAAAAAGTCTGTAGACAGGGAAACATCCCAATTTTCAGGGAAGAATTAAAGATGAGGTCTAAGATTCTAACCCACAGCTTACTAAATCTACCATTGGCCTCTGGCCAGATTCTCTAGAGGATTTTTGAACAAATATCTCACAAGGACTTAGAAGCTAGGAAAACACCAGCACCATTCCCAGGTTCCAGGTGAAGGAAGGTGGCAAACCAAGAATCTCTCTCTTTTCAACAGTGATGAGGGTGATGTTGGTAGACTCATGGAAACTAATCATTCTGGGTACGGATGCATCTGGTAGTGCATTCAGTGTTTTATACATCTCTTCTTCTCCTTCTTCCCATTTTATAGATAAAAGGGTGAGGTCTGATGTCATAGTGCTTGGCTATTAACCAGATAGAGCAGTTATATAATCTACTGTCAGTTTGAGGAAGGGCTGAAATCTAGCCCGTCAATCAGGTACAGCTTGATGACCTCAGGAGGCCAGACACACATTCTCTGCTTGACATTCCTGCTGACAAGTGACATGGAGCTACGCTGATGGAGCCAGAGCCCTGGAGCTGGCGAAGCCATGTGGAGACCCACGCCAGCACTGAGATGCCTCTACCCCCACTGTGTCCACAAGACTTTCCACCCACTGGCTTGTGATCTTCCAGCATTCAGCATCATTGCAAGTGTTGCATGAGTCTGAAGAGGAATTTATGGATTGGTATCAGACATACGAGCTAATATCGAACTTATGGACTTGAACTGGACTGGCCTGTTTTCTTAATATGCAACTACTCTTTGGTATAAAGTTCTCTCTTACACATATATGAATGTTGATGAATTTGTTTCCCTAGTCACCCTGGACTCACACTCCAGAAGTCGCTGGTTCGCACTCACCGGTCCTCCCTGGAAGGACGGTGCAGTGGAGTCTGCCTCCATCAGGAAGGCCGGCCTGGGAAACCCATGTGGTTGCTATGAGTAGACATTGACTTGACAGCAGGGGGCTGGTGTGGATGAGGACAGATGAAAAAGTCATTTTAGAGAAGTCAGCCAATCTACCCAAGATCACACTGGTGTGTTTGAGCCCCAGGCCCCAGCTCCTACTGCCAGATGCAGCCCTTCTTGATTTCAGGAAGGCCTTTGGACTCAATGCATAAATGCTGGCTGACCATCATGGACTTAGCTGCCTTCACAGTAGCCCTGAAACTCTTGACTGCTCGTGTCCACTTGCAGGGTGGGCTAGTCCATCCAGTCCTGTCTCTGTTGCACATGACATTTTATTTGGCACAAAAGCTTTGTTTATTAAATTCTAATTTATTAAATTTGTTTATTAAAGTAAAACTGGAATTAACAACACATTTGATAAATCGTCAATGTGCAATTTATCATTTTCTTGAGGCTGGGACTCTCTCTTGAAATCAATGGGGGAAACAAGAAGTGCCACATGTAGGTTGAAAACATTTGATCATGGACACACAGAATGGACGAAGGAGTGAACAGGAGTGAGTGGGGGGAACCCGGAGGTTGGGATGGATTGGGCCATCACTCAGGACTGCTGCTAATGGGCCTGTTGAATCAAAGGAGGGAACTGCTGACAACTGCGGCTGGTGGATTGATTCTGACGCAGAGTGACCCCACAGGAAACCACAAAACTGCTTGATGGTTTCGAAGGCTGCAGGCATCATGGAAGCAGCCTTGCCACATCGGTCCACCCCAGAGCAGAAGGTGGGTTTGAACTGCCGCCCTTTGGATTAGCAGCTGAATGTTTCATCACTGTGCCACCAGGGCTCCAGGGACTTGTGAGAGAATCGTGCCGTGCTCTGGGAGGCTACCCTGCTACGACTCTTCATCTTGGATGGACAAAGATGTTTGTGACCATCATGACTAGGAATGAGGCATCATGTTCCCAGACACAACCTGAGGAGACCATCTCGTTTAGCTTGCAGAGGACTACACAAAAACTGCATCTCCCAACTCACCCAGCTTTCAGGGGGACGTCAGCCTACACTGTTCCAGAGAGCATCCCACAGAAACGTGCAGGGGCATCCTTGGCAGGAGACATGCCGCTAAAGCCAGTGTCCCCCAGGGACTGGGCTGCCTGGGGACACGATACTCCCTCTGCCTTGAGAAGTATCAGAAACATGACTGACAGATGTCGGGAACATCTTCAGCAGGGCATTCACCGTCTCTTCAAGACTGGGAAGCTATGTATAACGTGTGTGTACACGCGTGTGCTCTTTCTATTTTGCAGCTCAGAAAGCGCTTCACCTCTCGCCCACCTGTGTGTTATCTGAGTGGACCACACATGTCGGTAACAGGTCTCCGAGCTTGCTGACTCTACACCCCGAATCACCAACCACCACGATTTTCTGGAACACATCCAGGCCCATTGGGGGTCCCAGTCCAGCTTTCATGGGACAGCATTTCTTCCACCTCAAAGCCAGTGCGTTCAAAGCTGTCCTGCCCACAGATGCTCCACTCCAGCTTCTCAACTCTCACCAGAGGTGATGCTGTGTTCCTAGCTGTCGACTGGGACCCTTCTCCTTGGAGTCTTGCTTTTACTTTTTATCTATCCAGGGATATCGGTCCTGGGAAGACAGCCTCAAAATATCTGGATAATAGCTCCATTATTGGTTGTTTCTGCCACAACTCTTAACCAGGCCCCACTGGCTCACCACGGATTGCCCTAGCTTCCGCCACTCTCTTTCTTCCCTGCCCCCACTCAGCTCTCTTTCCCATAGTCTGAGTGGCCCGATGAGAAACTGCTTGGTGGTGGCGTCCTAAGGTGTACGTAGGAGGCTCACTTCCATGTGTGCGGGTGTGGGGAGGGCTGTAGCCAGGGCTCTCCTGGCTGGGGCTGCGGGGAAGGAGGGCAGAGTGCTGTTAAGAGTAAACTGTGTCCCTCAAAAATGTCTCTTGAAATCCTAAGCCCTCTCTCTGTGAGTAAGAAATAGAGGGGTTTCTTCTGCCATGTTAACCGGGCCACACCAGAGTGGGGAAGAGTCCAAACCGAATCACGTCTGAGTTATAAGTTAGAAGAACAGACACCGAGGGGAGGCCGGCCAAGGACCTCCCAGGAGTGCCCGCTGACCCCAGAAAGCGGAGAGAGGCTCACAGCATGGACAGTCACACTTGAGACCTGATTGGGAGACCTTTACTCTCCAGAACTGAGGGAATGAACTTCGGTTCTTTACAGCCTCCCCCTTGTAGTCGGGCTGCTATGCAGCGTGCCCACAGGTGCCCAGCTCACACAAGCGAGAGGAAGTCCAGAGCGAGGGGACCATGGGCAGCACTGGATTCAAAGACACCACCAGCCAAACCAAGAGAGAGAAGGGCTAGCCGATGTGGACAAGTCCGAGGAGCAGGCTTGACGGCAGGGTCAGGAATGGCCCTCGAGAACTGGCTAAGGTGCTCAGGGGCTCCTAGTCACAGGGCCCTGGACCTCCCTCCCTCATACGGGCAGACAGATGATCTGACTTAGACTGACATCTGACCCCAGCTAATTCGACTTCCAGATGGATGAACATCATAACTACATACATAAGAGAAAAACAGCCATCGTCTGTGATGTCCTACACGTACACCTGCCTCTTACTGCTGACTGGGCATTTTACAGGTAAATTCTTGTCACTACAATGAAGTGCTGTTTGAAAACACCCTTTCCATCCCTTTAAAAAGCCACTGTTTAGCCAAAGTAGCCCTCGAGATCACCTTGTAGCTAAGTAACACATTGGCTCAAACACTAATGAATACACATACCCCGTACGTCCTACGGTGGTTTAACACAGTCACCTGGGTGAGACCCAACAGGTGGCAGTTACTCTGAAACGAGGGTGGGAATGGAAGGGGCCAAGAAAGCGGATTAACGGGAATGAAAGGACCAGCAGGGAAATACCGAGACTGTTCACACATGGAGGAGACTACCAACAAGGTCATGGGACAACTTGTGCAGAGACTGTTCAATGGGAGCCTAAGCTGTTGTGCAAACCTTCACCGAAAGAGAGTGTACTCATGAGCGAGTGAGCGCGCACACACACACACACACACACACACACACCATCTTTTTAAATGACGGTCTGGTAGCAGATGCATCATTTTGACTCTGAGTCTCAATGGTCTGCAAATACACATGACATAATGACCCCTGGTAAGCTCTGGAATCACATCGCATTCCCTTTCATGGGAG